AAGGCTTTTCTTTTGCTCAGAAATCTCACAGGCCCCTTCACTTTCCCTCACCTTTCCGTGTCTGCAGCGTTTTCCAGGGCTGACCTCAGAGATGCAGCCGCACATCACACCCAGCCAGGCTGCCAGAGCTGCTGAGGGACGTGGGCTAAATGTTAGGAGGGGATGGAGGACAGAAAGTCCTTGCTCCTGTGGCCAGGTGAATACCCAGACCCGTCATCCAGGCAGAGTGCCAGGGATCGCGCTGTTGTCAAGCTTTTGGAACACTGACGGATTTTTAAATACTTYYATTATTTATTTRTTTAWTTATGAAAGTTTCTGAGTGTGYACCAGCTGGTAAAGTRCACATTACTGCTGCCACAGCCTGTATTCACTTCAGAGCACTTTCAAATTTTTATTAGAGTTTCCTGACCATGTTAGGTTAATCTTTTGTATGACATTAGTGCTCTTTTTCAGCCTAAAGAATCCTATGATTCTATGAAAAGGAACTTTCAAGGTTTCTTCTGGATTTCTCARTTTTCTAAGATTAATTGAACTAAATTCTGCTCTGCTTTGTTCTGTTTCTTAAAGACTCTRAAGCCCCATCTTAAGCAAAATGAAACCAGTAGCAGGGGAGAGCTGCAGCTCCCTGTCTCATCCTGTAACTCCCACAGGGAATTTTCTGGGTCACCACCTCCTCCACACAGACACCATTACCTAAGCTTGATATATTTCTTTGGCATATTTAATCTGGTTTATGGGGAAGGATATATTTAGGCCATCAACTGTAAGGTCCAAGTTCAAAAATGTACTGAGAGATGCAGACGATTCTCTAACTTGGCTCCTCAACCCAGCTCCAAATGCAAGCTGTACTCTCATCTCTGCTTAYATGTCCTTAAAGCACGCTTTGGGTSACAAAGTGACATAAAACACGCTTTAAAGAAGCATATACTGGTAATGCTGGTACTTATCTTTGGCAGTTTGAAGGAGAGCTTAATGCCTGCATCTCTCTGTGAATAAAGGATGGCTCTCAAAAGGCACCTTTAATAAGCTCTCAAACTTCCCAAACTGAAAAGGAAGGTGTGCCCTGGTTGCTTGCAGTGGATGTACAGAATGGGGTGGCTGTGATGCTCTGCTGTCCTTGCAGGGAGGTTGAGCAGAGCCGGAATGAATGACAACAAAGCAGATGGAAGTCTCAGTTTCAGCTGGACAAGCCCACATTCATCAACTGGCCAGTCTGCCCAGCTCATTTATTATTAATTCTGAGTGCCATCTGAGAGGGAGAAGCGTCTGTGATGGGTGTCAGCCGTCAGAGGGCTCCATCCAGCAGAGCCCTGCCTGTCACAGGCTGGGCAAGCCACCAGCCCTGCCGGCAGGGTGACAAGACTGTGGATAATAGCTCGGCTTCCCGTCAGGGCTKGCTGGATCACTGTGGTCATAAATAGGAAGGGAAACACATGCTAAGTATCCTTTTCCTTTCTCGTCCTTTCCTCCTGGCGTTTGGCCTACAGCTTTGTGGTTTTAGGATGGAAGTCGCTTTCATGGTTTATTTATGATTTTTTTCAATGAAATCCTGTATATCTGATTTGAATCCAGGGCAGGACTTCTCTGGTATCTCTCTTGCAGCTGTGGGAATTCATAGGGTTGAAGATTCCTCTAGGATCTGCCCTAGGAGGCTTCATAACCTCACATGAGCCCCACTCAGCCTGGGTGAAGGCTTCTCYCTGGCTCTGCATTGGACCATCTGGAATTAGAGTTCCCAAATTCCAGCTACAGTCACAAGCRATCTGTAGGAACAAAATGAAGCATCACACCTTATCTAAAGTATATTATTTGCTGAAGCSACCATTGGCAGTACATCCATAGGTTTATAAAGTAATTTTCCTGAACTGGATTAATTTACATCCTTGACCATAAAAATGGCCTGAAAATGTGAATAAGTTCTATTTCAAAGCTGACTGTTTTGATTTTTATGTTCTTTGAAAACAGGTGCCTCTTGGATAAGGAAAGAATTTTTTCATTTYGTCTTTCTTCTCTTATTGAATGTGTTCTTTGGCATTGAAGTTGTTGAAAGATCAGCTTCCATATGAGATATGTAAACACATGTTCTGTGTAGGCAGGGTCTTCATATTTCACAGAAAACTATGACAGTCCTATTCTTGGGCTGAGATTTTTTCCACTGATGGGAACTGGAGTATTCTGAAACAGTGTTTAGCAAACAAAGCTAACCTGGAGCCTAAAAATATGCATTGCATTTGCAGAGAGCCTGTAAGYCTGCCAAGGTAACCCTTTTGTGATATAAATCAAGGCAATACTRTAATGGTTGTACATCTTGGATATTGCAGTTATTGACAAAACCCRTTCCAGTGAAATGTGGTGCTTCCACAGTTCAGGTTATAAAAGTCRTATGTGCAGTCCCTTTGTGAATCACTCCTTGTTTTGGTCCTTCTGCTGTCATATCACCTGTCATACCTGAGTGGGGAAGGTTCTCGGGTCCAGAATCAGCCTTTTCTTAAATATTTTCTTGACAAAGAAAATATTCTTGCACCTTCTTTCTTGACAAAGAAAATATTCTTGCACCTTCCAGAGCATAACCATGGTTACTGGTGGAGCCCCTGAAATATTAACTACTCAAGTCATTACATAATTGATACTTGTCGTATATAGCAATATCTTTACTGTGAATGGTGTATAATGACTTAGTATATAATAATAGTATCTATTAGAATTTAGTGTCCATGTACAGTAATAGCATCTATTAATAATGGTATCTAATAATATCTATAGTAACAGTATCTATTACTGTTCCTGGATATTTTGCTTGTTTCCACACTGAGATCAGTACAAGCTGCCACTGTTCATACCAGCAAATCTAAAGGGAGCTTCAACACAACTTACAGTGTTACAGTAGCATAAGATGATAAACACTAAATCAGGGGCTATTTTTTAACAGTTCAGTCAGGTGTAGTGTTTTTCACAATAAAACTGTTCCAYAGATTTTTAAACTTCTCTTCTAAAAAGGATAATCCCAATTTTTTTGTAACCCAGGATCAGAATTTACTCATGAGGACATGATAAGTATCATGTTAGAACTACAGATGTACATCTATATTTAATCTTATATTTGCAAAATATTTTAAGAACAACTCTTATTTTTTGAAGTAGTAGCACAACTGCAGTGATTCAAACCTTTTTTTCTGCAGTGCCTGGTGGTGATCTCTTAGCAACTCAACCACATCAGGCTAGTTTTAATATTCTTATTCTTGTTGAATGATAATGATCTTACTGAAATTTTATCTAGACCATAGAATGAGGCAATACTAAGAAAGATTATATTGGAATGGGGCCTAAAATGAAGTAATAATCACACTTTATACCCTGTTAAATTACAAGCTGTCCATGACTTTAATAATGCACTATCTAATCCAAATGCAATATGTTCATATGCAGTCCTGAAACTCAGACAACCACATGAAGAAGCATGTTTGTTAAAAATGGAATAACTTGTTTACAGCTGCATAAGAGTGACTGAATTCAGGTTAAGCCAATATAAAACTTATAATCTCTTCATATCTTTATATTTTATTACTTGTAAGAGCTGGAGACAGGTGACTCATACTTCTTTTTGAAGAACATTGGCATTTTCACTATGTGTTTAAAGCTTGAAATTAAACAACATACCTATTTTTTAATAATTTTTCTGCCTTCTTCTAAAATTGAAGTTTTTGACTGAGTTTCAAACTTGCGAGAAAAAGCTGATAAAGAGTTTATATTATGGACCCTTTCAGAATTCAGTTGACTCAGGTTTCAAAGGTGTAATCACAAATAGGGTTTTAATAGAGGAAAAAAGTCTGGATGATGTGAACTATCCCTGAAGGCTGCTGAATCAAASTCCTCTGGGCAGCTCTTCTCTGTGCATCAGGACTGAGAAAATGCTGTCCCATTAGCACAGGATGGTGGAACTGATATAATACATTTTTTTCTGAGACATTTGAAAAAGTAGCAGTGTCTCTGTTCTTCACTTACCTTGAGATGTAAGTAAATCCAGCCTGCAATTGATTTGCACACAAATCTAGCAATTTCATCAGGTTTGTCTTCCCAGAAACTTAATTTAGAGATTTTCTATTAATACCGGATACTTCACCATAGGCTTTTCTACTTGGCTCCCTGCCACCCTTCAGCTCACAGACACCCATTGCAGCTGCCACTAGCCAGAGGAAGAAACCAACAGGCATAAATAAATATTTGCTATCCTTKGCAAAACCTTTGAAGAAGGTGCTTATCCTGATTAGAGATGTATTTCCCAAGGGGTGAAGAGATTCAGGAAAAAACCTACACTGTATAAATGCACCATCTTAATATCCTTGCTCTGTGAATCTTTGGTCACAGCTTCTTATATTCTTGATTGAAGTTTACCCCTTAGAAAACATTCAACACACTGCCAAACACAACCTAGGTCCTGTCTTACCAGTCAGTCAGTGGCAAAGCTATCAGCTAAGTTTGGGTTGTAGGGTATTTATCCTTAGGGGTGATGCACTAATCAGAAATATGGCAACCTGGTTGCAGTCCCAGAGGAAATACTAGTAAAAGTGTTGTGGAACAGTTTCCCACTGCCCACTTATCACARGAGTGCCTGAAGTGATTCAGTTCACAGGGAAAGTGCTGTCCAATMRCACYGARTGCTTTCCTGGTGGCACATGGGCTRTAACAGGGACCAGAAGATGCTATTTCTAATACACTTTTGGAACAATAAGCATTTGGTGCATTTTCTACTGTCACCTATCTGAAATTTTGCAGATTCAGCCTGTGTCAGAGCCACATTAAGAGCTTAAAACTCTGCATAGCTTCTGGTGCAAGAAGGACCCCTTAAGTGTCCACCARGTTTCTTAAATCCCTGCTTGGATTATGGTGTTGCAATCAATGCGTATAGGATGKATTAAAAATGTGTGCAATGGCAACTTCTCTTATTCTGTAAGAAATGTTTGTGCTGTTCAAGACAACAGATGAGTGTTTGTGTTGAACAGATCTCCCTTGTTTGGAACAGAAGAAGCAGCCCAGCTGCAGAGCCTGCTGCCTCCCTGGCCCTCCTCCACCACCCCTGTTCCCACCACCGTACTTCAGGCACAGCTGGGGCACTGTAAGTGTGGCTTTTACTTCTTTTACATGAGTTTTAATGACAAAGAATGAAGCATCCTCTCAAGCACTGGTTCATGCTGCCACTCAGCAAACCCCCTGGCTGTGCTGATRTGGCTCTGTGAGGACAATCACTCAGGATCCCAGACTGGGGCTTGAAGTAAATATCAAATGGATCAAGGAATGAAATGAGGCTGGATTTGTTCCAGCAGTTAATTCAATTAACTTAAAATATTCTCCTTACTCTATTTTGAAACCTTCTTAGAGTAAAGCAATCCTGAACCAGAGGAAAGTGCATTGCAATAAACCAGTAAGGACAGAAAGGCAGTTTTCCATTCTGCACTATTATTTCAGGGGGTTCATTTTGTCCTGTTCTGCATCACATTTGCCTTACCTAGTAGGTGAAATGAGGGTCTCCTGAAATCATCCTGTGGAATCTATTCCCACCATTTCATTTGGCAGAAGCATATCTATGTTTGAGATGCTGGCATGTGGTTTTCACTCACCCACCTGTGCATAAACCTGCTCTGTGAGATAYATGTCCATACACATATGCTGGCCTATGCAGTGTGCAGGATACAGTGGGAATATGATGTAGTAGTTTGCCCAATTGCTCTTACTGCAGCTTCTGCTAGCTAAAACATATTCTCCATCCCAAAACAAAGAGTTTTCCCACCTACTCGGTAAGTCCTATTCCGTTTAATATTAATTTACCATATGCAAATAATGCAATTATTGCTAGTGTTAAGTAATGATTAGCAAGATGTCACACAAGAAGTAKCTCAAGAGAAAGTGTCAATCCTCCATTGCCTTCTGAGTGATCAGGTTTGAACTCAGTGTGCTACTCTCTCCAGTTCAAAATTTACTTGCCTTCCCCTTCCTCATCACCTCCCCTGCCTGTRCCTTGATTTTCACAGAAAGGAGATCCAAAGACAAGTTCTCTTTGGGAGTGTGGTGTATTCCTTCAGTGAGGATGAGACTGGGACCAGGGTCCCTGAGATTCCCGCAAGCAGCTTAGAGAGTAACCTGAGCATAAACTCACCCTTCACACCATCTCTCTATAAAGCATGWTATGAAAATAAGCTGTTCTGAGCAGAGTGGGAACCATGTGAATTAAACCATGAGCCCTTTGTTCTTTGGAGCCTGTAKTTAGAGCTTTACTGGAAAAGGGCCTTTCACCTGCTGGCTGAAGATCAGCCCAGTATTTCTGGCTCAGGGTCCATCTGCATTTCCAGGGGAGATCACTTTTGTCATGGAACATAAAATAAAGCATTTTRCTCATGAAGGCTTAATTTTTAAGTCAAAAGACCAGACATCCATTGATAATTTCAGGCACTGGYTCTGATGTGCAGTGAATGAATGGCTCTTGTTTAGGATCTTCTGGAGYGAAGTTCACGCTGCCTGTGCCCTCCCTGAGGGAAGTCTCTATTATTAGAGCCAAGATGCTATTCTTGGAGAGGAGCTGCTGCTGGAAAAGTGGGACAGAGAGGGCAGGGTCAGGTCTAAGAATAGGCCAGGGTCCCAAGCTGGCTCAGAGGGGCAGCCTGGCTGCGAGGTGCCTCTGAGAGAGGAGGAGGAGGAGGAGGAGGAGAGGGAGGAAGCTGTGCCGAAATGCTGATGTACAAGCACCCATGAAGTTAACCCCATGACAAACCCTAGACTTCTCCCAAAGGGAGCAAATAAACCCTTGTGAGGCTGTGGTGTGTGGTGGCTGGATTTTTATGTGTTTCTCCAGCAGGCCCCGTGTGGCTGCATGTTCACTCWTGTGTTTGGTGTTTCACAGAAGCTGGATATGGAGGAGTTGTGTCGTGAGCTCCAGGTGATACAGGCGGCCTCTCTGCCCGAATCACCCTGCTCTGCAGGGCCTCCTGGCCCCCAGGTGAGTGGTGCATTTGGGATTAAACCACATCCTTCTCTCACTTGCTCCCCAGTCCTTTCAAAGCTGTGAAACATCTAAAAATGTTTTTTACCACTTAATAAGCATGCCCAACTCTGGATTAATTTCATTTTGATATGACTTTGCATAAATCATGTATGGACAGCACATAACTTTTACCCTATGTTCTCATCCCTGCCTTGCATACTCCATTCTGTTTCAAGGTCACCCTTCATTTTTGTGGAGTTTTGCAGTGGGTTGCGCCCATCAAATATCCCAGAGGTGTCATCACTTCCTTCAGAGGCTGTTTTTCAGTTTTTTCTTTGCTTTAGGCTCTGTTCTCCTTTTCTGTGAGGACAAGAGCCTGTGGGGTGGATGACTGAGAGATACAATGGACTGAAATATCAGTGGAATGCATCCCTGAGAAARCAAATATCTCCAGTAAGATCAGGGACCAGGAGGAGCTTAGCAGGGCAGTGGGGTGGGATTTAGGAGGTGCAGGGTCTCCTGGCTTGATCTGCACCATCTCTGCCTCACCAGGTAGCTTTGKACCAGCCTTTTCAACCTCACACCTCATTTTGTATAATTTAGACTTTCAGAAATCTTCAGAGGAAGGTGAGAATCTTAGAATAACATAATAGTGTGAGTTGGAAGAGACATTTAAAGGTCAAGTAGTACAATCCCCCTACAATGAACAGAGACAATACAACTATTCCAGGTTGCTCAAAGCACCATCCCACCTGGCCTTCTTCTTCTGATGACATGAACCTCCTCCAAAGGGAAGTTTTTAATTAGCATCTCTTTGTTGTGGAGAATATCATGCATTTGCCTTTCTATTCCAGTTCCCTGCAAAGAAAAATGGAAGTTTTTGTAGGGAGATACTTCCAGGTTCTCCTGGGGCACAGGCAGTCCAACGTGTGTGCTGTACCTGGTGCTTTGGGGTCTTCCTCAAGGCCCCTGTGTGCCTATTTATTGCAATCCTGAGCAAAGCTGTGGCTGAGAAGGTAAAAAAAACATCCAAACACTATTTGAAAATTTGTACAGCACATCAAAGAAAAGGGTCATTAAAAAAAAAATAAATTAAAGGCAGAAAGCTTAGCTTTAATTATTTGTATGTCAGTACTTCAGAAGGTAATTGCAGAGTGTGGAAGTTGCAAGGTGATATCCACAAAGTCTTCATTTTATAGAATTATRGAATGGTTTGGGTTGGAAGAGACATTAGAGATCATCTAAYTCCAACTCCCCATGAATGTTCTTTATTGTTCTGCTGTTTTGTCTGTGCTGAGATGTAGGATGAGGAAGATTCATTTAACATGAGAGTGGTGAATTGTGGTCAGAAGTGATGGAARGTGTTTGTTTAGTTCTGTCTTCTCTGTGTTATGACACAGCCTTGCAGTATGGTTGGCCATGGTCCAGAGCTGCTGTATTTGTGAAAAAAAACTCTTGTTTCAGTCTTTGCTAGACTGTCTTAAAAAAAAAAAATCCTTTTGATATGCTCTCTGACTTAAATTGCAAGGAAGAAATTCTATTGTTCTACAAAGTYCATTGCTATAAATAATATTAATCTTGCAATCAAATGACCTATGATCCCTCCAAGAACATTTTWAAATAGATCAGGCTGGCAGGTTTTATCATAACAGCAGACAGTAGGATTAACATGGCTTTGGAATTTTTAATTAYAAGTTACAGGACTGTGTCTTGTACAGTGTTAGGGCCTATAGTTTACTGGGAAATACTTTCGTGACAATGGCCACCTGCTAAGAAATGCCACCATTACAAGGAGACATCTACTAAGTACTTCTRAATTTTTTTCTGCTGAAGCTTGGATGGCTTTCAGAGGAGTTGCAAAAGCTCTTATTGTTCACTCATAGCTGAATTTTAATACATTTTTATAGGAAGAAGAGTTAGATTAGTAATGGTAAAAYGTAGAGTGCAGTTCTTCCCCTGTATATCCTAAGGTAAAATGSAATAAATAAGATACAATTTGGTTCTGACTCTAACACGGTGCATTCTGATATTCACTACTGAACACCTAGAATAACCCTACTAAACTAGTTGGAGTTAGTTGTGTTTGAGGGTCCATTTTGCTCCTATTCATGCACAATTTGATCACTTTTTGGATAGTATAAGATGGCCAGGATCCAAACGTGAAGTGAGTGATTTTTATGGTGACTCTAATGCTTTCCTGATGCAGGCTCATGGGAATTTTTTCCTCATTCATTCAAAAATAAAAGGTGGTCTRTGAATCAAATCATTCTAGAAAAAAAACACTGGGTTTTTTTCTGATTTTTTTTTTGTCTGTAATGGAATTCAAGGTCTCCCTGGATTAAGAAGTCTCCTGAAAGGAGAATTGACCTCATTTGAGAGTGAGAAATATCTTCAGAATTCAAAAGTGGTCGCAGTCTTCCAAGTTCATCCCATCCTGCAGACCCCATCCCACACATTTTGTGCCACTTCCCTCACCACCCCTTTGTCTGACCTCTTTTGCCAGCTGATGTGCTGTCTCCATGTCCTGGTTGCTAACTCTTCAGGACTCTGAGAGCTTCTCAACTTTCATTTCCCCCAGGCTTGTTTCTCTTGCAGGTTCTCCTCATTTGTGAGATTCCCCTGCACTTTCCACGTCAGTCCAGCTCTCCATCCTGGTGTTTGGGGCCACATTCCAACACAACACCAACACCTCAAACCTGTGGGTTCCCTGGTCCCAGGAGACACATACAGGGTCCCTCTCAAGGCACCTCACTAATGCAGCCTAATAATTGTGTTCATTTCCTCCCTAGGGTCCACAAGGAATTCCTGGTATAATGGGACCAAAAGGGGAGAAAGTAAGTGTCTGTTGTTACAGAGTTTGATGTGTTTTTGAGAAGCAAAGAAGCAGGGGGAGGGTGTTCTCTGTTTTCTTTGTCTGTTTAATGAATGAGGAAGCCTATGAATTTGCTTTAATTTGAATGTAAGGCTGTGAAATGGCTTGAAGATATAATTAAAAGTTTAGTCTTCCATTGTTCATTTTCAGTCTTGAAATATTTTTYAAGGCTTCTCAYGGCCGTGACCTCTACTTAGGTTATRCTTTGAGAAAACACCTCAGGTGCAAAAGTCRGAAATTTTACTAATCCAAAGGCCTTTGAACTCCCTGTCCTCTGGGAGGATGTGAGGAGGAGAGCTCTCCCATGCAGTGTGAATTGGATGGGACAGCTCAGGTATTGAAGCTGGCCTGTATGTTAAGTTATGTTTTCAAATGTGCAAAGATTTGCTCCATAATGGTGAAATTATGTGCTTTGTTATACAAGGTGTTGACTGTAGATTTAGGGCTCAGAACACAGCAAACACCAAGGAGCTCTGATACAGTAATTYTTCTCATTTTACCTCTGTAAGCAAAGCTTTGAGAATGAAGATATTCAGAATGTTTTGTTTGGGGTGTTGGTTTGTTTCTTCGTTTTTTGTTTGGGGAGAGGGTTGTGGGTTTGYTTGTTTGTTTGTTTGTTTTTTAATGGAAATGCATTAATGCATTTGCTTATGAGCCACTGTGCTTCACGTGGTTCCTATCACACTGATATCTTCCTTTCTCTGGCAGGGGGAGATTGGCAGGCCTGGCAGAAAGGTATGAACAAAGGTGCTGTCTCAGAAATCCACCTAATATTTAATAGCAGCTGCCAGAGAGGGGTGCAGCCAWCACTTCAGTAAAAATCAGCTAATGTGGAAGTTTAGCCTGTTTGTGATTCTCTCACTGGCACCCAGGGTGGACAGCAGGGAGCTCTGGATGCAGGGCTGGAGAGCTGCCCCAGCTGGTTGGAATTTGACAGATTCCCTGGGTAAAAGTGTGGAGACAAGCCAAACAGAGTGGGACATTGCCTGAACTGCCTCTGTGGACAGGGGAAGCAGAGTATGGTAGCTATCATAAAAAGCATACAAAAAAAAMCCCAAAGCAAAATCAAACTTTTTACTCCTCCAAAGTGTAAACAARGCTCAGTCAGATTCCCCTGAAGGAAGAATAACCATTAATGATTGCCCTTCCAGAGCTGTGGCACCAATGTAATATGCTGAGCACAATTCTATGCTCGGTGACATATGAGCCGTGATATATTGTCAAAAATATGTGCCCCTACATGTGATGAAACAGAATATGTTATCTCAGTCACTAAGTACATCCATTTAATGCAATTAACTTTAAAGAAGACAGAAACGCAGGATGAAATCAGAGATATGCAGGGGGTGGTCACTAACTAGGAAAAGAAGTGCCCTTCTAATAATACACCAAGGATTTTGACACCTTTCTAATAATATACCAAGGATTTTGACACCAGCTACCCATCAGTAATTCAAATAAACACAAAACACATAAACAGAAGAGGTAATTTTCTTTAATCTGTTTTCAAATGGCCAACAGTAAACAAAAATATTGTTAACATAAATTCAAGGGTTCAAAACAACAATGTCTTTGAGAGAGAAATGCACTAACCTACAAGAGCTAAACTTTAAACACAGTACAACATTTACTCTTCTGACTAGAACTAGTAGATTCTGAAAGAGAAGTTGCTCAGGTTGAAAAATAAAACTGTGCAATTTTTATTTACAGTTGTCTGGCCCATGAGAGTTCACTCTTGGCCCTGAATGTCGTGGTGTCACTTCTGAGATCAYGTTGTCAAGCAGTGTAATGCAGAGCAATAGCATTAATCTGCAGCATTTTAGGAGATATTGAAAGATTAAATTTGCAGCAATTAAAACAGATAAATAACTGTATATACATATGTAGTTATTGCTATTCAAATAGTAGATAATAAATAGCTAGCAATATAGGAATGTTYAGAATAAGTTCCATAGTAATAGGAATAGTTGGTTAAAGATTTGGTTCTGTTCTCAACATAAGTTGGATGTGTATGGATATAATTTCGTGCAGGTCTGTTTATCCCCTGTCTGCAGTAATAGTCTGAGCAGGAATGGTGTTAAATGAATCATTGTAATCAGTGTTTTCCGTTCAAGGGCAGACCAGGTCCCCCGGGYGTCCCTGGGATGCCAGGACCAATAGGATGGCCTGGACCTGTGGGACCGAAGGTAAGACTCAAATTCACATGGAACAACCTTTTCAACATCACAATCTGAACAGAAGGGYTGTCTTGGGAAATCTCTAAACAGCTGCTTGCAGGAGGTTGGGAAGCTGCAGCAGTGCAAGGACACTCTGTGCTTGTCCCCTTTCTTACACTGCTCTGCAAAGGGCTGCCCAGGCTGGGTTAGGTAGCCCCACCTTCAGCCCAGCCCCTGTAGCACTTCTTTTGTTGATTAAACACATCAAAGCAAAATTGAAAATGAATACAATGCAGACTCAGAGAGCCAATAGTATCTCACAATCCCACGAATCAGTGTTCCTAAACTGACTGCCATCRTTATGACTGTTCTTTATGAGGATCCCTTTGCCTGAAGATGTACTGTGAGCTCATGTGATCAGGGAAAATACCAGGCTGGTATCAGGGGAAAGAGACTACAAACCATGAGAATGGCTGATCACATCTTTGAAGTTGATTCCTATGCAAACAAACATAAATTCTTGGTTTTTATTAACCAACAGCAGAAGAAATGACAGGACATGCTTTGCTACTGCAGAGTGGCTGCATTGCCTGCATTTATTATAAAAAAATCTTCAGGACAGTCCTTCAGGACAGTGAGTACTGGCTTATGCAAAAGTCATAACAGCTCTTCACAGAAACTGTGATTTATAGGTCTTCTGGGRCTTTGGAGATAACTTGCTTTTCTTCAGTCTGGGATGCATTAGGCAAAAAGACCCCACACAATGCCTAGTTGGAAATTGCTTTTTCCAGTAAATCTTTGGCTCTTCATTTGCTCTGTGAAGGTTGATGTCCCCACCTTAGAGGATGTGATGCAGTAGCTCTTGTTCCTGCAAGAATGATAGTAGGTGACTTGTGAGTTCAGGACACATCTGGGAAGAGATCCTCAAGCTCTTCACAGCCGTGTTAGATGAAGRGCAGCATATTATGGTATGTGGGAATGTAGGCAAGGAACCAGAGAGTACGTAACTAAAAGAAATTAATGTTCACTTTGAATTGTCAGATGGGAAATGGTTCCCCTCGCAAACACGTTGCATGTGCTGTGATTTCTCCCAGCAGGAGCAGTGAGGGCAGAGGAAAGGTTCAATCAACTCCTTCCTTCATAGTCTTAGTGAAGGAAGAGGGCAAAGCAGAGAGAAAACTCATTCACTTGGTCTTTTCCTTATATAAGCTTTGCTTCTATTTATGTAACCCTCTAATTTTGATTCATCTCCTCTGTGCTTTTTCATCTCACTTGTAGGAGCATCTCTCATATTCAATAGTAATACTTCTTCCTRTATCTTAACTGCAAATCCTACTTGCTGTTTGATTAGGATTCTTCTGCTTTTATTGTCTCTTCTGAYACTGATCTCCTCTGTTCTTTAGGTRGGTTCACAGTTTCATTTCTTCTAGTCTTTATCAATTACCTTTTCCTCCCAGAAAATGAAGGCTCCAGTTGAATACAACACAGAAGCTCTCTGTGGTCRCTTCAGTTGGTTGTGTCTCTCTTTCCTTTCTCTCTGTCTCTGGTCTTCTCCAACTTCCAATATTCTTCTTCAMCAGAGATATTTGCTGCACCCCTYTCTCACTGTAAATCTCCAGTAAGCRGAGGTTTGGATTTTCTCCTCGTATCCACCTCTGTGGATATTTGCCTTCTTCAGCTGGCTCTTCTTATCTTCTCTTACTTTGATACAGCCTCACTTCAGTCCCAGTTTCTCCTTCTTCATTCTTTCAAGTCTCGTCTGAACTTCTGTAGGGGCAGCAGCCAATGGGAAAATCCTCTCCATTTCTAGGACAGTGAAAGCCAACWGAGAGTAAGAGCCACTTGTGTTCTGCTGCTAGCACTGCTGCATGTCTGGGGGTCTAGTCTGTATTTCACACTAGATAAAATTAGCTGACAGCAGCCAGGGAAGTGGTTGTAAAGCTTTTTCATGATTTACTGGCTCCAAATGTCTGTTCAGCACATGGTGCCTCTGAATTACAATAAAAGCMGTCGCTGTGCCTCCACAAGCAGCAAAATGCCTTTCTTTTCTGCAGCTCAGCGGGGGTGGTGCTGGGTAGAGACAATGCACCTTCAGGCAGAAAAGGATGCACTGCTGATGGTGGTTTGCTTGCATGTCCTTTCATAACATCTGGGAAAACTGAAGCAAAAGTTACCCACATGAGAAAATGCAAACAGAAGAGTGAGAATAGCTGAGRGTTCAGGCAGAATTCTATTACAATACAGAACCCTGCCTAGAATGCTACACCAGGGTCAGGCTTAGCTGTTTGACATAAAACCTGAACCACTGAACTGTCAGACATTCAAATATGACCTCATCAGAGAGCCACATTCAATAAYTCTCTTTATTGACCCCTTTAGGGTGAAAAGGGAGAGTTGGGTGTGATGGGATTGCCAGGTACAAGAGGACCAATGGGCTCCAAGGTTTGTTAACCAAACACTGCATTTTCAGACATTGGTTTCTAATGCTCTGCTGACAGCTGCTTCCCTCACRAATTTTCTGGAAAGCATTTATCAAGATATATCTTTTCTAATACAGCTAAAAAATATGTYCTACATCAAGCAAGGTTATGTTGTMTGGTTGGGCTTGGCTGTGTTTTTGGCTTTTCATAAAAATGCTTTGGTATAAATTATGGTAATTTATTTTAAAAGCAAACTCAGATATAATTGTATCCCAGTAGAAAAGTTCTGAAGCATATCTGCAGCATTAAATCATGTCTGCAATGTTTTCCACCCATCTCATAAAACTGTGGAGATCATTTTGGTCCCCTACAAGAACTATGCATACRTCCTGACAGTTGGAATAAATTATGTAATAGTTTACTCAAATAAAGGTCTGGAAAGAAGAACTGAACACCTTTGTTTACTCTATGTTTCTTTAAGAGAAATTCAGTTTTATGTTAATGATGACACTAGATTACTTAAGTGCAACTTAAGTATGTTCCATGGAGGGGAAAAAACAAACAAAACAGAAAAGGAAGATTAGTGTTAAAATTACATTGGATAATTAATTGGGGCATCTAATGCTTTATTGACTCTCAGTTAAATTTATTTCACTTGTTTCAATTTCAAAGCATTATCAAAGTGGCTGGCTTTACCTGGCTTTTTTCTTAATGGCTTTTGGGCTGAGCTGTCTTGCCTTTAATTCATTTTTCACACTTCTGTTTCAGTGCAATTKTAGGAGCTGTAAATATTCATTTGCATTTTCACGTTGATGCAATTAATTATTTGTGCTTCGTTCTTTTTCTTCACTTCAAAGTTTGAAAGTCCGGCTTCTTTGGTGATCTTGAAAACGAGAAGCATTAAAATATCTATCATTCCCTTTAGGGTTTTCCTGGAACTAGAGGAGAAAAGGTCAGTGTGACAAYAGAATAATGTATAATTTAACATTTGGAAACACTTACATTAAAAATATAACTGCAGAAATGAGATTGAATTTTGATGGAGTCTAAAGATCCCACTGAGAAATGAAAMCAATAATTTAGAAGGATCCCAGTCTTGTGGCTTGGGCTGGGGTGCTGAAGAAGTGGGTTTTACACCCTACATCCTTGTGAATAAATTGCTACAGTGAAACTGGCTACAGGTTCCCCATCTGCAGCATGGATAAAATAACTCTTAATTGTTGGTCTGGCTTAGGTGATTTGGAATTGAGACGGTGGGACCTGAACTGGGGGAAGTAGCCAACTGGGAAAAAAAAATTTAAAGTGTTATGTCCAGGCAAGGACGAATTTGACGTTATTATCTGGGGAGAATGAGTCCCTTTCCTACAARCCTTACCCTCAATTCTGTTATAATATCAATAATGAACTGTATACCTCACACTGAAGGTATTCCTGTGTTCTGCTGACCTCAATAACACATTGTGTAGGAGAAATATGTTTTCCTTCTCCATGAAATGGTAGTGAGTAACCTACTGTCTCTCTTCAGGGATCCAGAGGTGACAGAGGTGACAAAGGAGTCAAAGGAGACCAGGTAATTTTCTTTTCCAGACCTGCTGCATTATCTGCAGTGCTGGGTCAGTGTTCAGGGTTTTAACTGATATCCACACATGGCACTTGGTTTTTAACTTTCCAGAAAGGTGCTGCTTTGTCAAAGATCACTACACATTTTCTGACTATTTGTTTCCTTTCACTTTGTAGGGAGAAATAGGCTTCCCTGGAATGCTGGGACAAAAAGTAAGTGGGTGTGATATGTTGGGGAGTTGTGTTAAATGCTGAGACAGAGACAACGAGTGGATTCAGGGACTTCCTGGAAATTATAAAGCCTTGAAGGTCCTGTTTGACTCAATGACCAGCACTGCCTGGACTTGATCACAGTCTTTAGATTTTTTAGCTTAGGGGAAAGCTCTCGGATTTAGCTCTTTGCTGTTGTTTATCTTTTTTCCCCCAGATCTTCCTCTTGAGTAACATATCCAAACTCTTCTTTATAGAGTCACAACTGCCTTAATTGCTTGGGTGTTATTCACTTGAAGCTGATAGATATTTCCTTCTTGGTACTCTGAAATAAAATGGCACTACTGTAAATAGCAGTGATAACCCTGACCAGTTTTTATGTCATCATTATTCTGCACTTGAAAAACAATCAAAATTCAGGTGTTGGCTTATGAAGAATATAAAGGTGGATAATTTTATGACATAATCAAATCAYATCTCCGAAATTAGGAAAAGGAAATAATAGCTGCTTTTAAGGTGATTAGAAGATGAGTGAATTCACATTCCTTTCCTTGCGTATTTTTATCACACATGCATCTTGACAGCAAAGCAAGATATTGCCAAGGGCTCAGAGAGTTTTCCTAGCCTTCACCTCTCCAAGTGTCAGAGCATTCCCAATCTCCTTTGGCCTCTTCCTTAGGAAAGGCTCATTCAAAGATCTGTGGCTAAATTGCATGAGATGTTTTTTAACTTTACATTTGTTTTAAAACATTTAATTATAATTTTTGATTTCTGAGAAAGGAATGGTGCCAGCATTACCTAGAGGAATCATGTAAAATAAAGCAATGTGCTTCTGCTGTCTCGTATGAGGCAGATGTAACCACACACTCACCTCCTGCTTCCTTCYCTCCACACCCAGGGAGAGATGGGCCCCAAGGGACAGTCTGGAGTACCAGGACACAGAGGACCTATAGGAAGACCKGGAAAACGAGGCAAACAAGTAGGACCACGATATTTGCTCTTCCTGTGACTCTAGGCATCTGTGTGATTGTGTGGTCTGTGCCCTTGTACCATGCACTGTGTCGCACAGGGAGCGGGGAGAAGCCCTGGAACACCTCACAGGCATGCACAGRCTACACAGGAATTAAAGCCTCAGATTTAGGGCTGGAGTCTGGTCTGCAGCACTCAGCTCCCTGCTAATGCAGCATGGTAAAAGTTGTGTTTATCCTGGATTGGTAATGAACCCACTTAATACAATTTGAGCAGATCTTGAACGATTCCTTTGTATCCTAAGCAACACAGAGCTATGGTCCCAGCCCCACCTGATGKCCAGAGAGCTCCAAATTATGCTAGCAGAGATATATTTTCAGGATTTCAGATGAATTGTAAAGACTAGGACTTGAGTGCAAATTGGATACTGACTCTGCCACTACAGCATTTCAGTGGTCAGTGGGCTTAGCTGGAAATATTTTATTTGCAGCCTTGTTCTGCCCAGCATGGCAAGGAGAGGCACATCCCTGCTTCACTGTTTCTCTGGTGGCAGCAGGTAATATCTGAAATGATAAAATAGCCAGGGAAAAAAGAAGAGTTGGATGTTAGGATGGAAATAATAATCCCTCAAGTAAGGAAGGTATGTGCAATGTAGATCAGCTAGATGACCAAGAAGAAATATTTTTGTCAGGTTTTAAAAGCTGGTGTGTGCTCTTTGCTGGTTTTGAGGGGCTTGCTTTGTTTTTGTTTTGGTTTTTTGTTTTTTTTTTTTGTTGTGTTTTTTTTTTTTTTTTTTTGAACTCTGTTCATCTGTCCTGCCCGTGTTCTGTGGAATATCTTTCCCTAGCACAAGGCAAGAGAAGATGCAGCGCCCGCAGATCAGCTCGAGCACAGCGCACTCCTTATTTGACCTCCGACACTTTGTCACCTTAGACAGTGACTTCAGAAAAAAGTGGTGACATGAGCATGTCATAATTTAAAGCAACAATCAGTGTGACTAGAAGACCTATAGTCTGGCCCTAGAYTGGTGTTTCCAGTCCCAAAGCTGAGTACACAAACCCCTTTCTGGTGCCCCGAAAGCAATCTCAGCATTGATTCAGAATGAAAAAGAGGTTTCCCCTTCTGTAACTGGGGAATTAGCTATTTCCTTGCTTCTTTTCTAATCCTTTGAAAAAACCGGGGAGTGGCATTTTAAGGCGCTGTTGGTCTGGCTGCCACCTCCAAGTGCTGKAGTTGTCGGGCTGTTTGCTCAGCTGAGAGGATCGTTTCCATTAACATGGGGCCATTTCCTGCCTCTCGATCCAGCTGACATGCCTAGATAAAGGCAGCTAAATTAAGCAGGTGTCACTTCCACTTCCATTTTGGGATACGGCTTGGTCAGCTCACGGATTTCTCCAGCTCTCCCTGCCTTTGGGGCAGGCTCTTTCCCAAGAGGTGGCCAGGAGGTGGGAGTCACAAGCCACAGCCCCACTGCTGCTAACTGAGATGTTAACACCCAAAGCTTCATAACCTGGGGACTGACCCTGAGCAAACCCAAGTGTAGTTTCAGTTTTGAGAATGAGGAACGACTTATGGTTTTAGATAATGTTACTTTGAAAGAAAGGCCATGAATATAAATATTGCCAGTGGGAATAGCTTCTCAGAATGCCCTGGGCACATATGAAAAATAAGGCAAAACTTTGAACATCAGCCCTTGCCATTATTGTTTAATCCATCAGTGCTAAGCAGGAGAGCATTCAGCAATCATTCCTTCAAGGCAGGGGACACAGAAAACAGCTTGTCTGACTGGCACTGGCTTGCCCCTGTCAAATTGATGCTGTGTGGGGGAAAGAGATGTCCCACAGTCTTCTTAGGGGCCACAAAATCCCGGTCTGCTGGTTCTGTGTTGCGTAATGTAAGAGGTAATTAGAGATCAGCATCACTGACATTCACATAAATCCTGGAATAGTTTTATGGCTCAGAGCTTACCTAATAGGATTAAACAAAGCAAATATTCAATTAGTTCTTTATAGGCCATGGCAAAATCAGCCTTCCTCTGCTCAAGTGGTGCAAGTGACATCCAAATGTATCCATGGGATGTAACATATTATAGAATAACAAATTATTTCAGCATATATTACTGCATATGTTTTGCTACTCTTGAATTAGACAAGCAACCATTCATCATTTGCCTCTGAATGCACATTAACCTGGAATTGCACCATCTTCAAGGAAATAATCTCCTTTGTTAAAGATAAATAATTAAATAATCTCCTTTGTTATTCTTTGTAAAAGAAAGCTTACATTGTACACATCACTTTTATTTTTCTAAATAACGTATGCTGTTACATAAAATCGAGTCAGATATTTTAACTTTAAACTACGTAATACACTTCTGAAATACAAAGCTGAGAAATCCAAGCCTCAGAAAGCATATGAGCAGGAAGGAAAATATAGTTATTTTTAATWAGTGTCACAGTATTAAATTCAGGAGCAAAAAAATGAGAAGGTGCCAAGGAGTTCTAGGTTGAAACTTCCAAGTGCCCAAGGGTATGGCTGCACAAACAAGCTCCCATGAGGCAAATTAGGGCTGATTTTACAGAATATTAGCCATTATATAGTAACTGTGTGTAAGTCAGGTGATTTTGCAGCCCTGACTGTTGTCTGGCTGCCAGAGGGACACCATTTGTCTGCACGGTGCTGCTCAACACTAACCTGCACTTATAAAGGCAAGCCCTAACTTGGCTTGTGATGGTTTGTTACCATAGCTATACCCAGGGCAAAAGTCAGTCGAGGAGATGCAGGAATGCAGGCTCCTCAAGCACTTCTGACAACACTGTGAGCTTCAAAGTCATTATTCTCCTTCTCAAAGACTGCATCCTAAGATTGGGAAATGTCACTGTGGAAGCCCTTGACAAYTTCTCAGTGATTTCCCCCTTTCTTTCTGAGCTGCACTCACTCCTGGAGAGCTAGGAGAGGTAAAAAGGCCTCCTTAAAGAGAGGCTATCAGATGATTGAAGTGAGTGCAGGGTGATTCCCGACTCCTCCCTGTGACCATTCACATTTGGGAGCAGAAGTTCTGCCCTGGCATTCCTTTCTGCCTCCATGTAGGAGAGGAGAGCCCCTGTTCCCTGGGGTGGTGTCCATGAAGCTCATGCTTTGTGTTTCTGTTGGCAAAKGTCCTGGCTTTCTTTAACAGGAAGMCAGTGCTGGCTGGACGAGTTTGTTTGTCACCACCAGTTCAGCCCATCAATGGGTGTCTCTGAGTTTGTTTGTCACCACCAGTTCAGCCCATCAATG